GGCGAAGGCCAAGATCGAGGAGCTGGCCACCAAGAAGGTGAAGGAGGAAGAGGAATCCAAGGGCGAGTGAATGCCCTTTGGAAGGCCCTGAGTGGATTGCGTCAGAAGATGCGATCAAGTTGTCCTACCCGGCTGGAGGCTGACCTGGACACCAATCCTGGCAACTTTCAAATGAGCCCAACACGACAACAACCAATAACGGACGGAGAGTTTTCTCTCCAACCACACGGCACTACGAGCACGACGAGCCCTACGTTTGGTGGGGAACTTTGTGGCGCTGCGTGCACGACATGCTCTACTGGCAGTTTGTGTCCATCTACGGCGCGTCACCAGGAGATCGGCTGCCACAAACCACATGACGGAGAAGATAGTGAGGCCTTCCCTGGCTATGACTTGGACACCTGAAAGGGGACATCCCGACTTGCTGACAGAATCAAGGAGGTGGTGCCGCGCTTGGGTTGGGTATCCTTTCGATGCACTCGGCTATCTAGCCTGCAGAATCTGACAGAGTGGACACCAGAGCAATAATGGGATGCATTCCTCAAACGACCGGGACGAGACCTGTCAAGGTGTGATGAGATAGCCCGCGGCCTGGAGCCAGTCATCTCGTCTGGCAATGACATCGCCTGGGAATGGCCAACGACTGCCACATGTCTACTGGATCCGGGTGGACGGATGTGCCTATGGGCTGGAGTGGAAAGGCATTCCTCTTCGAAAGGCCTGGACCATTCTGACCACATGCAGAGAGCTTTGGCTGACCTTGAACAAGCGATGTGACCGATCGCATGAACATGCAGAATGCCGAGGACAAGCAGCAGAAGCCTCGAGTTACTACCCTGCGTCCCTGTGCCGAGATGTGGTGGAGCATCGGTGGAGACAAGAACGAGATGATTTGATCAGAAGGCACGAGTGAAGAGACTACGCCCACACCTCATCCTGGAGAACCACGAGGCGGACATCATGGCTTCGAGCTGGAACCTCAGGTGATGGCCCTGAGCAGGAAGAGGTTGGACATGGAGACAGCCCCGACCGGAAAACGATTGGAGGCGATCAAACAGATGATGTTGAGAGTTCACCGAGCGAGCGGGCACCCTGGCATGTCCAATTTGGTGCAGCTGTTGAAGGCCAGGGGATCGCCTGGCTGGGCCCTTGAGCTAGCAGCGCCGAGACCAAGACCTCCGGCAAGCTTGGGAGAAACACCTCCGATCTACGACCATCTCGGAACCGATGTCTTCGAGCACGAGGCTTGACGATGATTGACCACCTCAAGCGGTATGAGACGGGCAACTGGGAGCCAACCTCGAGTGATGTGATCAGGTCGATGACCAGAAGTGGACAGTGGCGGACAGTGCCAGGTACTATTATACCAGCCAAGAGTTCATGAATTTCCTCAACAGGTCTGGTGTGGGATTGACCATTGCACCAGCAGAAGCACACTGGCTTATGGGCTTCGAGGAAGGAGCAATTGGCCTGCGACAAGTTGGTGAAGGAGAGGGAGAAAGCCAAGATAGCCTTCGAACGAGAACGAGCTCGAGAGAGGTTCAGCAAGCTGACGAACGCCATTGGAAGGAAGGCGAGCCAGTATCAAGCTGGCCAACTGGTGATGGTCTGGCGACAACGAGTTCGCCCTGGCAAGGTGAAGCTTAGGGCAACTGGACCGGGCCTCTACGCCTCTGGTTGATCTCAGGTGCCACCCTCATCCGGGCGAAGGTGAACCAAATCCGCCCGACTTCGAAGCGTGAAGAGCGACGCAAGGCTAGAGGGAGCGGCCGTCTACAAGAGCCCGGTGACGCTCGAAGCCCTCATGAGGAGCTTTCAAGGTCGGTACTACCTTGACGTGTCCGGCGATGTCCCGAGCGAGGAGCTGCAGCCTGCAGCGGGGCGACCTCAGCGACTCTTGGGCAGTGAATCTGAAGTGGGAAAATGGCAGACGCTTTCTGGTTCGACTTCACGAACTTCCAAGATTGGCACTCTTCAACCCAGGCCGAGCCATGAATTGCCCTGTGAAGTTGGAGGAATTGACTGGCCGTCGACGAACGGCAGTCCACGGGGGCGACGAGGTGACCATCCACGACACCATTGAAGAGAGCCGGAACCTCCAAGACAGGTGGAATCACCAAGACCGAGAAGGATAGACTTTTCTGTATGACCTTTATGAAAGGAGACGGGCGCCGACAGGAGCTGAAGTCCCAATACCCGAAGGTTCTTCTTCGTCTTCTACATCTTCAATCTCCGAGCCCGAGGATCTATCCTCTGGCAGCGAAGAGTTGATGGTCATTGATGACAACTCCAAGCCGGCAGGAAGACCAAAGGAGATCCAAAGAAGAAAGCTCCAGAAGAAACCTTCCTGGCACGCTCTTTCGAGGTGACGGACGATGACTTCGCGTGGCTGAGCAAGAACAAAGGTCGGTAGCGAGGTGCCATCTGGTTGAGCAAGAAGATGTCCGAGAAGGGCTAAGTATGGCACCGCCTTCCACTTCAAGAGAAAACGGAGTTCGACCGGAGCCTGGCCATGGCGAAAGAGCTTTCGCAGGTGGCGATCAGCAAGGCCCTCCGGAACCTGACGGTCCATGAGGAGCTGAAGGTGACCCCAGAGCAGTTGATGAAGATGCGCTGGGTGCTGACGCGCAAGAGCGTCGGGACGGCCAAGGCCCGTCTGGTGGCGCTAGGTTTCACAGCGCATAATTTGACAGAAGTGGCGACGGCCTCACCGACCATGTCCAAGGTTGGTCGCAACCTGATCCTCGCCTTGGCGGCTGGCCTGAAGTTCAAGGTAAAGGCCGGCGATGTGACGAGCGCCTTTCTGCAGACTGGCATAAGTCTGGAGGATGAGGAGCTGACCGTGTTGGCACCGCCCGAACTGAGTGCCATGTTCGGAGCGGCAGATGGACAACAAAAGGCCCTTCGTGTCCGAGAAGCTTTCTACGGCTTGGCGCACGCTCCCAGGAAATGGTGGGAGCGCTGTGTGAAGACTATGGTCAATGGCGGCTGGAGGCAGTTGCTCAGCGACAAATGTTGCTTCGCGCTCTACGAGCCTGAGTCCATGGATGGCAACCAAAACCCACGACTGGTTGGAGTGGCTGGATTGCACGTGGACGACTTTTTGCTGTGTGGTGATGAAGTGTCTGAACACTTCAGGTCAAGGGAACGCCTTCTGAATGAAGCCTTCCGATGGGGACGTTGGAACGAGAACAACTTCGAGTTCGCAGGATGTACCGTCATCCAGAACAAGGACTACTCCATCATCCTGAACCAGGAGGTGTACACCAACCGCTGGATTGAAGAGATCGAGATCGACAAAACAAAAGCAAGAAAGACACCCTTGAATGCGGCTGAGATCTCTTCCATGCGGGCAGCGCTGGGCACGGTGTCCTGGCGGGCAACGCAGTCTGCGCCGCAGTTCCTGGCAGAAGCATCGCTCCTCCTGAGCGAGATCAACAAGGGCACCATCGAGACCCTCTACAAGGTCAACAAGTTGGTGCGAGAGATGAAGCGAGAAGCTGGCCAAGGACTCCTGTTCCCTTCGAGCTGGGGCATGAAGGAAGTGACTGAGCTCGCGGTCATCACATTGGCTGATGCCAGCCAACACAACCGCCCTGACAAAAGCAGCACGGTTGGCATCATCACCGGTGTCACGGTGAAGGCAGCCCTGGCAGGAGAAGAGGTGCAAATAGCGGTGGTCCAGTGGAAGAGCGGCAAAACGCCGCGGCAGTGTCTTGGTTCGAATGGGGCCGAAGTCCAAGCCTCCTCGATTGGTGAGGACCAGAACTGCCAGATCCGCTTGATGCTGGCGGAGTTCGGTGGCCATGAGGTGAAGAGGAACCTCGTGCATGAGACCGCCAGGCCGCCAATTAGCTGGTGGCGGGGGCCCTGGTGATGGACAGCCGAGGCATCTACGATGCCATGACCCGCAACATCAGCAGCCTACACGGCCTGAGAGACATGCAGCCGAGCAGGCTACGAGCTGACGCTCGCCGTCAACCAAGCGCTGAAGGCGGCCACGGAGCTGCGCTGGGTGAACGGCTTGGCTCAACTTGGTGACTCCCTCACCAAGTACGGGGCAAGGAAGACCCTACTCCAGTTCTTCAGCCAGAAGCAGTACTGGAGGCTGGTGCACGATGAGAAGATTGAAGCTGGCAAGAAAGTGCACAAGCGAGCCATGGAGCAGAAGCTTCGAGAGATGCAAGAAGCATATGTAGCTTCTTTGAGGACCCTGGCCGAAAAGAACAACTGGCCATGGGATTTCGGCGGTGAAGAACCAGCTCTCGTGAGTCCAAAAAGGGCCACGAGGATGGTGGTGATGCAAGGATAGCGTCACGACGTGATCCTCCCTGACCTCATGGCGGGGCTCGAGCGGCTAAGGCCAAAAGGGTTCGGCGCGTCGCGCGCGTTGGTCCACGACGGACCGCGGTTGCCCTTGGGACAGGGCGGATTGCGCCTTGGGTCTTGCTTCTCATCGTCTGCGGGAGTGTTTTCGTCTGTTTATGTGGAAAAGCTTCCTTAATTCCAAACGGCATGAAGTGGCCGAAGTGTCCTACGAGAGTTCTCAACGTCTCGTGATGTCGGGAATTGTCCTTCCAGTGCCCTGGTGCTCGGGGGTGGCTTGTAGGGCCATGTTGAGCCCTGCGTCTATGGGTAAAGCAGGTGATCCGAAGCTCTCCAGCTCTTGCATCTGGCCTGGATGCTCGGTTCAGTGTGCGTTTTTCGCGCACATTGCTTGGGAATGTCAACATAGATCCTCGCGCCCAAACCCCTTTGGATGCTCGTTTCGGTTGGGGCTCTCGCGAGACCCTTACCTGGCTTGCTCAGGTTCAGAAACAAATTTGGGTCACCAGACATGGTGATCCAGTACTAAGATGTACTAAGATCTGACGTCTAACTTTCGTTTGTTCGGGATGGCGCTACGGCTGACGCCGTTGCGTGGGCTCTTGTGGTGCGCGCCGCATTTGGGCTGCGCGCGTCGGCTGCTGCTGCTACAAAATTCTCTCTCTCGCCGTCAGGTAATTACTGGAGTCTTTGTTGACACCGCTATCCAGACAAGCAATTCACAGCGGGATATTCAGATCGAGCGCGAGATGGAGCTCAAAGATTCCTTCTTGAAGTCGCTTAAAGATTTCTTTGAAGCATTGGACACTGATGGCAGTGGTTCTATCCATTTGGAAGAAATCAAAATCATGCTTCAGGACAGGCTCGCGCGGTGTTCGTGTGTGTTGATTTTGTTATTTCCTGGCTCAGTACATGTCATAGCCCATGGCTACATCTTGGTCAGAGGTTGTTTCGGTGGGCAAGGCTTTTTGGGCAGGTTGTGTGAGCATTCCTCCATTGTTGCCTTTTGGAATGACCATGCAACACTTGAGCGATAGAAGGATTCCTTCTACGAAAGCAGCATGATATGAGACTCTGAAGTGTTTGAAACATGCAATTTTTACAATAGATGTTTTACATGTATTTGGATGTTATTATGCTATTCAAACAGTTTACTGTTAGGGGTTCTCAATTCTTTCTTAAGATGTGTCCGCCCTTTCTGTCACTGCTGGTGTCCGCCCTTTTCTGCTGGCCATGCAGCATTTCTATTCATTTGTCTCCCAGGAAATTTCTTTACTTTTGTCTCCCAGGTTCGGTGCACGCGCTGCTGGTGTCCGCCCTTTTTCGCTGGCCATGCAGCATTTCTATTCATTTGTTTCCCATGCGATTTCTTTACCTTTGTCTCCCAGGTTCTGCACTGCTGGTGTCACCCTTTCCCTTCATTTGTCTCCCATGTGATTTCTTTCCTTTTGTCTCCCAGGTTCGGTGCCTGCGCTGCTGGTGTCCTTGCTGCGGGACAGCGTATCCGCCGGCCTTCTTGTTGGTCATTGTGTCCGCCTTGTCTCCCTCCTGCCTCCCTTTGTTTGCGGTCTTGTCGGTCACTGTGCCTCTCTTCTTGTTGGTCACTGTGTCCGCCTTGTCTCCCTCCTGTCTCCCTTTGTCTCCCTTCTTGTTGGTCACTGTGTCCACCTTGTTTCCCTTCTGTCTCCTTTTGTTTCCTTCTAGGCTGGACTGCTCTGTCCGCCTCTCGCTTGCAATCCCCTGCCCTACATCTCTCTCAGCTGCTGTACCCACCTCTGCCTTGCAATCCTTTGCAATCCTTTACTTTTGTCCCCCGGCTCTGAGCTGCTGTGTCCGCCTGTGCCTTGCAATCCTTACATTTGTCTCTCAGCTCTGGGCTGCTGTGTCCGCCTCAGACAAGAAGGGAAGCAAAAGGAAAGAGGGAGACAAGCCGGACATAGCAAGAAGGGAGACAAGACTGGAGACAAAGGGAGAGAGAAGGGAGACAAGGCGGACACAATGACCAACAAGAAGAGAGACAAGAAGGGAGACAAAAGGAAACAGAAGGGAGACAAGGCGGACACAGTGACCCACAAGAAGGGAGCCGGAGACAAAGGGAGACAGTTGCAAGGCCGAGGCGGACAGGATGACCAACAAGAAGAGAAACAAGAAGGGAAACAAAAGGAAGGGAGACAAGGCGGGCACAGTCACTGACAAGAAGGCAGACAAGACCGGAGACACGCAGCAGCCCAGAGCTGAAAGACACATGGAAAGGATTCTTGTTGGTCATTGTGTCCGCCTTGTCTCGCTTCTGTCTCCCTTTGTCTCCGCTCTGCTGTGTTGCAGTCCTTTACATGTCTCCCAGCTCCGGAGTGCTGTGTCCGCTTCTCGCTTGCAATCCTGGACACTTGTCTCCCAGCTCTGGGCTGCTGTGTCCGCCCCTCTCGTTTGCAACCCTTTACATTTGTCTCGCTGTGTCTACATTTGTCTCCCAGCTCTGGAGCAATCCTTTACATTTGTCTCCCAGCTCTGGGCTGCTGTGCCCGCCTTTGCCTTGCAATCCTATGCACTTGCCTTAAATTTACATTTGTCTCCCAACTCTGACTGCTGTGTCCGCCTCTGCCTTGCAATCCTTTACATTTGTCCTTGCAATCCTTTGCGTTTGTCTCCCACAGCTCTGGACTGCTGTGTCCGCCTCAAACTCTAGTTGCAGAGTGTTCCGATTGTGAAAAGCACAAACTGTTTGGGGTCTACGGTGGTGTAAGTTCTTTTTCCGCACACAACTGTTTTTTTTTCCCGTGCGAGGATCCAACCCTCGCAGCATATTTTGCTGAATCTCGTTTGCAAGCAAAACTTTGGGTGGCAGTGTGTTTATGCAGTTTATGCACGTGGCAGGGTGTGTGCAGCTAACTTGACGCTATGCAGGTACTCGGTTTCGATGAAGTAAATGCCAATCAAATATTCCACTTGCTGGATGATGATGAATCTGGTGAGGCAGCGACATGGACGACATGTTTTTCCAGCTGTGAGAAGAAGGTGTCAAATTGCAGCCACTTTAGGTCAGCATCGAGGAATTCCTTGAGGGCTGTTCAAAGCTGAAGGGGGCTGCCCGGAGTATTGATGTTCACGCGTTGATGCACCAGTGCAGGAGAGAAGCATTCAAGTCATTTCAAATCCCCGGTTGTCGTGGGGCCTGGAACGTTCTGACATACGAAACGTGCAGGGCCCTTCACCGTGAGCTGAACTTTGTCGCATCAATGCTGGGCGTAGACATGCACTCCAGCACGGCACTTGCCCACAGGCAGTGGAACAACCTCCAGATTGAAGTCATGTTTTACGTTTGTTGTGACAAGTCAACCTTAATGATACTCAGGCCAACCAACGCCTGACTTTGTGTCGTTTGACCTTTCGGCTGTCCAGGCATCCTTATTGGAATGGCAGAGGCTCTAGGCACCTCTGCACAGATTCTTCAAACCGTTTGGCTTGAAAACAAGGGTCTAGGATGGAGCAGAATCCTTTGCACAGAATGCTCTTCGGACGAAGTTTCTCAACATGGCTGGATCATCTCAGCCCTTTTGGGCGGATTTGCACATCCAAACTGAGGCATGTTGGTCGTGCGACGAACCTTCCGCCTGCAACTTCAGCATAAATCATCCCAGTTGGCTTGCTACAGCTTGATGTTCCTAGAAGGAACGATATAAGAGCTTTCACATTTCTGTGAGTAGATGTTTCCGATGAAAAGGCGACATGCCAGGATCGAGAACAGGATTTGCTTAACATAGCGTGCTTCACCCAAATGGGTTGCGCAAAGTGGACGAAGAACGCCAACCCCAAAGCTCCGGGATGGCCTAGGTTTACAAAAAGCCGTGTGGGAGCATCCCAAGTTTGTCCCTTTCAATGCACAACTGCTTGTTCGAACCGCCATTTGCAATCCTTGAGCGATTGACAGCCATGTGGGATCTAGCTTCACACGTTCATGCATGTAGTTCCGAAGATGCTTACTTCGAAAAAGTCAACGTGCTAAGTTTTTCCACCGCTCCACAACACTCCAAGACCCGGCATTTTTACGCGATCCTTTTTGCAACAGCTGAATAGGTGGAACATTCTGAGAAAGCCCAAGAAATACTCAAGGTCCAACTGGCAGACTTAGCTTGGCTTGACCAGAGCAGTAAGACTCAGCTGGGCTTGAGCAGCTCATGGCAGTCTCCTCAGTTGCTCATGTGTTGCGGTGGGTCACATCGAGCCTCTAAGGCGACTGCCACCGATGAGGTTGCTGACTTCGTTGCCAGTCACGAGGACCGACACAAACTGGTGGCGAAAAGATGGGACGATGGTTGTCGTCGGTGACGTTGGTTTTGACGTTGGTGCCATTCCTGGAGTGTTTTGACGAGTTTAGATATTCTCACCTTGCCCCAGGATTTGCAGTTCAAGGATGATGGGAGTGGCAAGGTGGGGAAGATCATCCTGCATCATCGCTGTCTCGGTCTCTCAGTGGCTCTGAGTACCACAGTCGCTTTAGCGATGCGTCGCAGGTGGTGGCAAAGTCCACCGGCCATGAGATGCCTCCTCGCTTGGATGTCGGAGGTCTTAGCTCCGGAGGTAACGGTATGTTAGCGGTGTCTCCTTCGAGACATGCTGCGGAAGAGATGTCCGATAAGGTCATCAAGATCTACGTGAATGGTCCAAGTTACCGGAAGGCCAGGATCGGCACCCGTTTCTGAGAAACACGTTCTGACGGCAGAAGAAACCGTCTCTTGAACCCCTTGTGTTAATTCGCAGAAACCGCTTTGGGATGCCAATTCTGGTGCTTCTCTGCAAACACATTGACGAACTATCATGCTGTATGATACTTTCTCATTGGCAGGCACGGGAGTGGTATTCTTTTGACTTCAGCAAATATGAGCCACACATTGTTCGGCTACACCCTCAGGAGGTTGGCTTGTGTATGCATGACTTGCCTCCATCTCAGGCATGACAAGGAGGAGAAATTCCTTAAGTGCCTTGCCTGGTGCTCGGGGAGTATTTTTGTGCCTCTTTCTTGTATAAGTCCTTTTCCTTTTGGTCTATTCTGTGAGCAATGAGGTCACGGGCACTACATTGCCAATGCAGCCACAGAAGGCAAGCCTCCAGCATGCCATCGTCGGTTTTGGTTCGTGTGGGTGAGTTTGTCGCGAGGTGGAACTACATGTCCAGAGCAAGCGGTTCAAGGCGAGGTTTCAGCAACACGAGGTTGATTCGATTAATGAATTAATTGCCTCTAGAATCCCCATTCATCCCCATTCTATCTTCGTGCGACTCATAAATTGAAATTGACACGAAACTTAAGGAGCTATTGAAAGCCAAAGAAGAGCTGCAGCAAAAGAAAGATGCGAAGAAAAAGAAGAGGCTTCGTGCTTGCATGTTCTGCTTGTCTTTTTGCTGTCGCATCATGCTTATTCGCTATGTTTTGCTGAGTATGAAGATTATGAACAGTCTCCAGAAACATTCGCAGATCTAAGACTGAATTCTTCAGCACGAAGACAAGTGCCGATCTTTGCTTTCTGAAGGAGAGCAGAAGCAAAGCCGGAGGCGAAGGTAGGGAAGCCGCTTCCTTTGCTCATGGCACAGACAACGCTCCAATCTGTACTGTGCTTTGCAACTCCTGTGGTACTTTTGGATTTTAGCAAATTTTAGCGGTTGGGCGCGTCTTTGTATGCACGGTGACCTGAAGGGCAAGAAGAAGGCGAAGAAGAAGAGCCACCACGCTTTACTCTCAGAGCTTTTGGCAAACTCTGTGGTACAGCATACAGTTTGCCACTTTGCCAGGAAGCTTCAAGCGGTGCAAAGGAAGGCAAGTGATCTGCAGACAGCTTTTTGACTAAGTGGATCTGCAGGGACGAAGAAGACATGCGTTGAAAGTCGGAGATTGGGTGGCTCAAGCGACAAGTACTTGCAAATGGTGCGCGATTTTTGCAAGCACCCATTGAGTCCCACTGAGCTGATTGCTGGCCATTTGAACATGTGGTTTGGATAAGAAAGAAGAGACATATTATAAGAAGATGGTGTTTTTGTTCCAAGTGGAAGGGGTGAACCAACATTGCCTGAGTGTAAAGATGTGTTTGTGCAGGTAGCTCTAAGGTTTTTTTGGGCCTTCCAGACCGAATGCTGTAGCAAAGGGTGACGCTGTCCTGGGGATACTTGCCGGCGAGGGACTCCTGAGAAGGCCTCCAAGAAGCGTCCCGTGCGAAGTCAGCACCTTAAAGTGTTCTTCGATGCTCGGGATGGAGGAACCCACCGTCAGAGACTCTGACGCCACATGGCATATGCTCAATTCTGATTTGCGTAGAACAGTGGAACTGTTAGATGGCTTCTACTTGCGTCTTGAATGCACACGCATGCTGAGGTAAACTGCTAAAAAGGAAGAAGGATATGCCTGAAGGACAGCTGCATAGTTTATACATCTCAGAATTGCCCTGTTCGATAGTATATTCTTGCAGCCCAGGCCAAACATTAATTTTGCGACCCCCAAGATTGGCCAGTTCGTCTCATCCCCATTCCCTTAGCCCTTTGTGAGTAGAGGAGAACCAAAGAAGAATGATAAAAGCAAGAAGAAGTCAGGCCGCCGCCGAGTCAAAAACTTGCACACCAGAAGCTTTTGTTGGCAGTATGCAGTGGCATCAGGAGGAAAACGGACAACCATTGCCTGTCTCTAAGTTCTACAGTGTGCTTGGCACTCTGTTGAGCCGTCACGATTTGACAGACCCCAACCTTTTGGGTGAACTGAGGAGGCCTAGCACATGCTCCGTAAAAAGATGAGCTTGCTGGAAACTGTTGGGTGCACGTGGTCTTGATGTGTGGAAGTGAGATTGCGTTCACCCTACACTCCACACATTTGTTGCCGATGCTTCAGTGCTAGTGGCCATTCAGAAAATGGAAGCAAAGACGCTGACATGCGCTCCAGCATACCACTGCTAACACAACAAGAAGGCTTTTGACATTGCAATCTCCGACAAAGTTGTTTCTTGCTGGTTGCCAACGGTGTAACGATGCCCATAGGATCCCTCACCAGCATTTGTATAGAATAGAAGTGCAGGTCTCAATCATGGATCCATCGGATGTCACTGTCAAGCCTCTATCGCTGGAAGACATTGCTGCTGCGGCTGTGCTTTTGGAGAGGAGCGCCGCAAAGTCTTTTGACCAAATCTTGAGGCACTCAATTGATTTTGTGCTTTTCTATGCCATGCCTTTCTGGCTATTTTGCAGGGTGTCACTTTGTCAAAAAGGACAATTCAGAAGTTTGGAACTCAGTTTCCAACCCTTGCAGTTTCTCACCTGAGGTTCAGAGCAGAGCCCAATCTTGCAGAAGGCCGCCTGAAAAGCGCGCTGGAGAACAAAGAATTGGTGAACGTTGGAGTTGATGGCGCTGGCATTTGTGGAGTTGCTTTCCGAGACCCGAAATATGGCTGGGAGGTCTATTCGACTGACCCTCTCTGTGTCCCTGCACTGGTCAAAGATACCATTGCCACGGCCACGCTGGCAGATGATCAGAAGTCGACCTTCTGGAGGGATGGCTACCTTGTTTTCCCTGGCATGCTGGCTAAAGAGGTACAGGGCTCTTCCGGGGAGTTGGGTCAATTTGGCAAGGACGTTTGGCGCCTACAAGTGCCGTATTTGTGCGCATCAGTTTGTCAGACTCAGATATACAATTTGATGACTCTACGGCTATGGCCTTGACTTGGGGCTGAGCAAGACAATCACTGAACTGTAACGAGAGGAGAACGAGGTGACATCATGCATGTCAATGGGTTGAGATTAGATGTGTATTTGTTTTGTTAAGGCCAGCCGTTGCTTTGCATGGAGGATATCTAGCTGACCAGTGGCGGCTAGGACTCTTATTGTTTCGGGAGCAGGGTAGATTCGGTTGACAGTGATAACCGCCACAGCCCCTTAGCTTGTCCTTGCAACCAACCAGGTCTTTCTGCATTTGCCAAAAAGCCTTGACATTTTGACAGCGCTTTGTTTAATCAAGCTCTTCCTGTGAGTAAACAATCTGGGAGGCGCCCATGCTCAAGCAGAACATGGACCTGATGATGAGACCTGTCTAAACGAAGTCACTCTGCAATTGGATTCTGGATAGGACAAGTGTTTGAGAACAATGATTGGAGGCTGCAGCTTTTCATTTCCCGACAGTCTCTTTGGCATGTGCATCGAACGATCACTTCCCGATAGAATGAGATGCGCTTGTACTGCACTAACATGTGCTTGCACTTCTTGGCTGAGACCTTTAGTAAGATGCAAGGAAAGCTGCTGCAGATACGACATCAGATTGGAACGCTGTCAATGATGGCGCTGCCTTTGTTCTGGCAGTGAATGAGCGTGGGGAAGCCATCCCAGGCAGATTCTTGAAGGTTCGGACCAACAAGATACAGAATATCATATCATATGTTGTTTTCCCCAAAGTCGGGGAGGTTTGACATCCCAGACACAAGGTCACACGTAGATATGTGCGGTTTTCAAAAGCAATGAGTTGGCACTTGCCAGCGAGGTGCAGGCTGCCGCCCTGGCCAGTCCTTCTGTTCTCGAGGTGCTGGGTTGCACGAAGGTTGTGGAGAAAGTTCGGGAGCTTTACAGCTTTCTTGGGCATGATGTACCTCCGCACGTTGACGTCTTTGGAACCAAGTTCTTTCCTATGTGGCCTGGAGGCAGGACATTGGCTGATCAAGGTTTAGTTGAATGAGATGTTGAAGATTTGTTATGATAGATCATGATAGATAATGACAGATCATCAGAAATTGTGCCACTAATTTATCATGCCACGAATTACAGCTTCCCCTTCTGCTTGTTCAAGACTACCCTCACTGCCTGGAGGAGTCTCTGTGAACTGGCACCAGGACTGTCACTACTTTGGGACAGCATCGCCAAGGATTATCTCCTGCGGAGTCTATTTGGAGGATACGGACCAGGATTCGGGATGATTCGGGTATATGTGTGACATGTTCTTGGGGTTCTCCTGAATTCCCAATAGATGTGGACTACTTGATGTCTGGGTGTCATCCCTACTTTTGAACTGACATTTGCTGGTGGCTCTCAATCAGCGTGCTTAACTCAGGAGAACGGCTGTTTACAGGTGGTGCCTGGCTCCCACACTCGAGACTTTGATCACCTGCCTGGAAATGGTTTACACTCTCAAGGTGAATGGGCAACTCCAGGCCGATGGCAGCCTGATGACACTTGTTACGTCAGACCATGATCCACCCGAAAGAAGACCCTAAGAAAGCAGAACACTCGAAACATCTCGAAACGCCCAGAGACGGAGATGACGAAGCAGACAGTCCATCTTCGCCCTGCAGGTCCTTTGGACAAGGTTGTGGACGTCGTCGTTCCTCCGGGCTCGGTGGTTCTTTTCAACTCTCGACTGCTGCATGGAGCGAGGCAAAATCAACATACTTCTCGAACACGCTATTCTTTGTGCCTGGGTAGGATAGAATGCTTTCAGTTACTTTATTGCCATATAATATATGCAATACAAAAATAACTATGTGGCAATGTATACTGTGTATATATATATATATAATCATGTACGTATATCTATAGCATATCTATCTATCTATCTATCTATCTATCTATCGCATATCTATCTATCTATAGCATATCTATCTATCTATCTATAGCATATCTATCTATCTATCTATCTATCTATCTATAGCATATCTATCTATCTATAGCATATCTATCTATCTATAGCATATCTATCTATAGCATATCTATCTAGCTATCTAGCTGTCTAGCTATCTAGCTATCTAGCTATCTATCTATCTATCTATCTATCTATAGCATAAGCCTCTTCGACCCAAGCGGCTGTCCCGGCCACGCACGCTTTTCCTCGGATGCTGCCATGAAATGCTGGCTGGGACTAGAGTGGCTGCACCTTGCAGCGCTCGTGCTGCTACTGCGCTGTTGGTGGCAGAGATCGTGTGAAGATCTTGATCCTCGAGCTGCTTGTGGTCGACCGGGTCCCAAGTCCCGGACCTTTTTCATCGAGCCTCTTGCATTGAAAAGTGTTTGCTCCGGAAAAGGTGGAGGTGAGGGTGGAGGGCAGGCTAGGATGCTCTCCGGAGGGGACCGGAATCGACATGTCCCACAATCGACACACCCCAAATCCCCTAGCAGAGGGCCTGTAGAGTCCCACGGGACGCCAAATTTACATGCATGCACCAATCTTCGTACGATTAAGAAACGCAGTTTTGCCAGAATGCAGAAGCGATTAATGCTTCATGGTTTTTCGATTTACAAAGGACGCATTTACACAAGCATCCCTGTTGACTCACCATCCAAAACCCCGGTGGTGCCGACTGGGAAGCCCACCAGAAGCAAAGCTCGTCGCCGACTTTCACATTTGAGCTGGAACTGTTGCTCCCTGACCACGGCTGCATTCTCGGAGCTTTTGATCTGGCTATCCATACAGAGTGTCGACCTGGTGTTCCTCCAAGCTACCAGATGGACCCTGGAGCAGCCCTGGTCAAGCCACGGCTACCACATCGTCCCCTCGGCTTCCGCTGCAAGGGACAATGCAGGCCTTCTGACTTTGATCAGCTCTCGAGTCTGCACCAAAGACGACATCTCGTTCAGTGACCCTTGGCCAGGGAGATTGCAGTTGATCAAACGTAAAACTCCATGGGGGACGATAGATTTGATCAATTTTTATCAATTCACAACGCAGTCCACTCAGGGACGCCCGGCTCCTTTTGAAGCTCGACGTAAGCTTTGGGATGCCCTTGAACAGCAGATTCGGTCAGCACCCTATCGGAATGTCCTTTTGCTTGGAGGTGATTTTAACACCAGTCTTGAGCGGTCTAGTGCTTCTTCTTTTCAAGATGTTGGCACTCTCCGTAACCTCATCAGTGACTTTGGTCTCACTAGTCTCAGGGTTCATGATGCCAGTCCTACCTTCATTGGTCCCAGGGGATCATCTCGGATTGACTTCGTGTTCATGCGACGTGCGCAAGCCGATCGGCAGGCACATGGATCGTTTTGTTTGTCTTCTTTCCCTCTGCTTCAAGCACGTGCCTTCCCTGACCATGTGCCCATTCTCAGTAGCATTCCTGTGGACTGGAAGGTTTGGTACAACCCCACGCAGAAGCCATGTATCACACTGACCAAACAGGACCTACAGATGATTGACCACCACTATAAAGCAAACAGTCCGAGCTGGCAGGATTTTCAGACCAAGATTCATGATTCTCTTGCCTCAGACCGAGCCTTGGATGTCCAGTTCCCAGTGCGGCAAATCATGCATCTAAGTAAGAACATGTTTTCGTGTGCTCCCACCAACAAACTGCCGTTGTGGATGAAGGAAAGCACTCGGTCCATGGTCGCACAGAAATGGAAGCATCTTCATCTTGCCAGGCAAGGTTTAGGTGACGCGATGCCTCTTTCGACATGCTTTCGTGTTTGGTTTCATGTTTGCCGGTTTTTTCGTTGTCATCGACTCCTTGCCAAACATTGCATCGAACAGAAAAAGGAACGATTTAGATCCATTACAGCTGATGCGGCCAGGGCCGCTGCCGCACATGACACTCGTGCACTATACCAAGCCATTCGTCTCCTGACCCCGAAGCAGGTTCGTCGCATGGTTCGTTTCAGAGGCTCTGTCGGAGAACCGATGTTGGCGGAACAGGAACTTCATCATATGGAACGTCATTTTGCTCCCATCTTTCAGACCTCAGAGGCTCCCACAACGACAGACACCTGCACACCTGTATTGCTGACTGAAGCAGAGCTTGTTTTTCAGCTTGCACAAACCAAAAAGTACAAAGCTGTTGCACCATCAACGATCCCGGCACTGCTGATCAGGGCTCTTGCTCCAGCTCTTGGAGACTGGCTTCACAGATACCTTCAACAATCCTGGAGGACTGCACCATGCATTCCACAAATGTGGAAGGATGCTACATTGGCACTTCTTCCCAAAAGACAGGTTCTGACACCTGGTGACTTGCGTCCCATTGCACTGACCTGCGGATTGGGAAAAGCTGTCTTGGGAGGATATGTTCGACGAATACACCATGAACTGTATCCTCGAATGTGCCAGCTCCCCTTGGTTGCTTACCTTCCACACCGAGGAGTTCTTGATGCACTACTTATCATTTTTGACTTCTGTGACCATGTTCGCTCAGCATGCAAACAACTGGCTCCAGGACCCTGGCGTCTCCGTCCCGCTCCCAAAGATTGCCTCCGTGGTGGCCTCATTCTTTCACTTGATCTCAAGCAAGCATTTGACAGACTGCCACGACCGCAGCTGGCACAAGGCCTACATCTTTGCGGATGTCCTCCTGAGCTGAGCACTGTGCTGATGCACTGGCTTGAGGGTGCTAGATATGCCATCACTCACAGGGGCCATAAACTGCAGATCCTTACTACCAGGGGAGTTCGACAAGGCTGCAAGGCCTCCCCCTTGGAGTGGAATGCCTTCATGGTTTTTCTCCTAGAATGCTTGGAACATGACCTCTATGATCGCATGCCTCATGTGGCCCCTGGTTGGATCCTTCGACACCTTTTGGTGTATGCTGACGACATTTTAGGTCGCTGGATGTTGGAGAAGCCTGAAGATCTTACGATTGCGTTGACACAAATAGGTATGCTTCTCGATCTTCTTGAACATCATGGGCTAAGCATAAGCCAAGAGAAGACAGTCTTGCTTCTCAAGCTTGCAGGTGCCTCAAGCAAATCCATCCTGAAACGACTTTTTGTTCATCAGCAGGGACATCGATGGATCAAGATACCACGGCGTGGTGAACCCACACTCCTGAAAGTTGTTGACTCACACACCTACTTGGGTGTCAAGATCAGCTTCAACACCTTTGAACAACAGACGCTCAAATATCGCATGCAACTGAGTCAAACAACCAACCTGCGTCTCAAGAAGTGGCTATGCGGCCGAAATGGATTGACCACACGTGATCGTCTTCATTTGTGGCAAACGTGTGTCCAGACAAGTCTGTGCCATGGCCTTTGCAGCGCCGGGCTCCGACAGGACGGATTACAACAGCTTACACATCGTTTCAGTGCTGACATTCGGCGTGTGGCTCGTTCACCTGCACACATCACTCATGAGACAACTGCTGAGTTGTGTGCACGCCTTCATATACCAGCACCAATGCGACTACTGCAGGATTCCTGGCTGGGCACCTTTAGACGACTCAGAAGCACGCGTGTGAGCCTTGACCCGACGGATTTCCTTTGGGTTCTTGATTTGGACAAGGTTCAACAGCGTGTCATGAAAGTGTTTGAGGCTCTGCCGAAGTCCACTCCACAGGACACTGATGCCGTTTTCTCCTGTCCATATTGTGCACATTTCAGTACCACACAATCCATGCTGAATAGACACTTGTCCAAAAAACACAAAGCCAAAGGTCTCTTTGAAAGATTTGAAACGCTACGGGATTCGTTAGGAGGCCGACCCCAGTGCTGCCATTGTCACAGAAAGCTTGCCTCTTGGAGAGGCCTTGTAACCCATATACAACTGGGTCATTGTTCAGCTTTTGATCTAGCTCTTGCCTGGCAGGTTGCCCCGGCCGATCAAGAAGAGCTCCGTGATTATGCCAGAAAGCAAGCTTGGCAAGCTCTTGTTGAGAACCTGACCCTCATTCAGGTGATTCGTGAGCAATGCATCTTGTGCGGACGCTTCTTTGCGAATGGAAAGGAACTGCTGCAGCACATCCATCGCATGCACCAGGCTCTTTGGGCTGCTTCGATGCACTATACAGCTGAGATCATGCACTTCCTTCGTGGACTCAAGGCCTGTAGCGCATGTGGAAAGGATGTCAATGTTGCCCACAGCTGTCATGCTGTACGACAAATGGCGATCCTAAGGGTTTTGGTAAAGAGCGACATCACCACTGCAGAGCTGAAACAGGTACAGTCTTGGTGGTTCCGCCTCCTGTACCTAATCCTGATCTACCACTTCCAGAAGCTTCCAAACGCAGGAAACTCAACGGCCGGATCACCAAAGCAGAGTTCCAACCAGGTCGAGACTCTGCAGATGGCACACCGACATGTGCTCACTGTCACGCAGTCCTTCAAAATCACTTTGGATTGAAGTCCCACATTGAGGGAGGCTGTCGCTCCTTCCATGCAGATCGACCCCTCGGCTCTCATGTGCCCATGGGCTGGTCCAAACTGCAGGCACTCATCCTGGACCTCGACATCGATAACATCCTTGCCGACAATGACTATCTCACAGCACTGCAGGCACGATGCGTCCTATGCGGGCGCCTGTCGAGTAAACCTGGTGGAGTTTTGCAGCATCTTCAACAGGAGCACCAAGAGCTGCTTAGCCTTTCGCGTGATCTTGAAGACAGACTTCAGAATGAGGCCCTTGCTTCAGGACGACAATGCAAGTGTGGCAACAAGTACACGAAGCGGGGACACAAATGCATGATTTATGCCCAGCTAGCAGTACTGTATCATGCTCTTCAACCTCGCTCCGTGGCACCTTCGGTCTCCGCTGATCTGCAGGTTTCGGCTCCATCGACCTCTGAACCAACCACCTTCTGGACAAGGGAGTCCTGGCGTACTTGGCTCAGCACCACTTGCAGTGTTTGTCAAATCAAAGTTGAATTGGACCAACTGCACCAACATCTGCAACAAGCGCATGCACACATGTATGCTGAAGCCCTTGGACAACTGGAGCGGTGTACCTCACCGGATTTGTTCTGCTGCAACTTTTGCCTGAAAGCAGAGGAGATCGTAGACTGTCCGGTAGCCCTGAATCTCGCCTACCACATCCTCCTTCATGCCGATGATCGAATATGGAGCGGACGAACTGATGGCTCAGATCGGGGACACCTTCGGCTCAATGCTTCAGGAGGACGAAAGGCAGCCGGCTCACAAGAGAACCAAAGGGCAGATGGAAAGCCATCAAGGGACATCCGGAGCCTCCTCCTCGGAGCCCATCGTCCAAGCTCTACAGCTCCTGACGACCCTGACACTTCGTCAGGAGGGCTACATCCAGTCCCTTCAGACCACCGACACATTCCTGATGTTCTTGCAGTTTGCACCGTCGGGCATAGTCCCGCTGCTGATGAAGAAATCACAGGAATGGAAACAAGCCATGGAGAACCGAACGGCCAAACAGGCCTTGAAGAATGTGCTCTTTCTGACCATTGTGCAACAACTCCAAGACCGCTTCCTCAGGATTGCCACCTCGAAAGTCGGATCCGAGATCTGGAAAGAGGGTATCACACATCAGGTGATCACGGAGCACGGGTCATGGCCCTACTTGGCGTGGAATCCAAAGGAGAAACGCCTGGTTCCCACGGACAAGACCGCTCTTTCTATGACCACCATGCAGAGCTTGATCGAGGAGCTGGTGGATATAGCATCGCATGGGGAGTCGGTCCTCAGACTCAAGTCCCTCAAACCGGAAAGCAGGGATGGGGCGAAACCTCAGGTCAGTCCCTGGCTACTGCAATTGCATCCCAGGAAGGAGAGAATCCACGAGATCCTGATGCTTTTGACCGCTTCCTCAATATGGTGTCTTGTCATGGCCAGGGTCAGACCACACATCAACAAGGAGAATCATGCCGCGGCCCAGCTGATCAAAGTGTGCAACAGCCTGTCCAAGCGGAAGCCTTAGCGGGATGGTTGCTTTCCCTACGGCTGAGCAACGAAGGTCATCAATGCTACCAGAATGCCATTGTTGTCTCCCTGCTATGGTGCATGACACAAATGGGCAGTGCTATGTGGCAAGACTTTGGTCAGCTGTATCCACTCATTGAGGAGCTCTTCACTCAAGAAAGTCTATGGATCAATCTTCAGCGGCTAAGCTGCTTTGATGCGTTTCTGTCTGCCTGGGGGACAGGCAGCAGGACGCTGGGGAATTCCTTGCCGCCTTTCTTCGATGGACTCAGCCTTTGTGTGTGCACCTGCACTGGAAGAGACGGGTGTTGGTCAACCAAGTGGTTGAGACTGCTGACGAAGGTTCAAGGTTCACACCACCAACCATCTGCGCACCGGCTCACGCCAAAAAGATCAGCCTCCAACAGCTTGTGGATTCATGGGCATCTTATATGGGAATGTCCACAGCATTTGTGCATAGCGGCAAACTTGTGAACCTGCATCTTGATCGGTTTCGCTCTGTGCACTCAGGCAATGTCCATCGGCATGAATGGGAGCTGGATCTTCCTGATGTTGTGCTACTGCCAGTTCAAGCAGAGGACTCACTCGCCACTTGTGCCATCCCATATGTGGTGATAGGAGGGATCCTGCACAGGGGAGAAGATGGTTCAGGCCACATCCAGGCCATCGGCAGGTCGAGGGAGGGCTGGTTTCTTTTCAACGACCATGAGGAAGCCCGCTTCTTTCAGGAACCGCCACTGCTCACTAACTGGGTCAGTGTATGGATGATCCGTGATGTCTGGACCCATTTCACCACCCCCAAGTTCTGGCAGTTTGGACTGGATCATGCCACGGACCAGATGACTTTGCACCTGGAAACCACGGGCCTGGACTGGGATGAGTTCCCGGGAGATTGGATACAGAGGCTGCGAGCCCATTGCAGCATTTGCGGTCGCCTGACCCTTTCGCATCGTGCCTTGGCCCAACACGTCAGGATCAGACATCCGGAATATGTTCCGGAACTCCTGGAGGATACCAGCCGCCAGCAGAACAAGTGCCTGAGCTCCTTACCTTGCCTAGGTTGTGGAATGAAACCAGCATCAGGAGCCAATCTGCGCACCGAGCACCTGTGCATTGCGGAGCTCAACCTGCATCTCGGCAGAACTTACACGCACCGAGAACTCCGCATCCAAAGCAATTGCTTTGGCCTTAGAGACACCCCTGATCTTGCGACTTGGCTTGAGCGTCATTAGAACGCATGTGGCCTGTGGACGCCTGGCTTGGCGCCGACATTTGCTGCTGCTTCTCGCTGGCAGCTGTCCGGCGCCCTGGGCTGCTCATTGCTGCAGCTGCTGAGATGGCTGAATCGGAAGCTCCTTTTGTTTAGATGGCTGTGTAGCCGACACGTAGCTTTGAAGCTTTGATGAGGATGGCGCCTTGAGTGCATCTTGCTCTCAAGGCTGCCTCTCCGGAGCAGTTGAAGCACCCCTGGTGCTCCTGACTCCGTATGATATGTTTTGATTTGGTTTTGACATGGATAGATGCTATAGAAGCTTTTGTCTGTCCATTGTGTTGGAGGCCAATCCTCCCACTGGTGTTGCGCACCAAGGTGCAAGTTCCCATGAGTGGAACCGACGGCTAGACCGTTGCCGCCCCGCAGTTTTCGGATGTCCGAAGAGCGAATCAAACTCAAAAAAAAAACTATCTATAGCATATCTATAGCATATCTATAGCATATCTATCTATCTATCTACCTACCTATCTATCTATCTATCTATCGCATATCTATCTATCTATAGCATATCTATCTATCTATAGCATATCTATCTATCTATCCATCCATCCATCTATCTATCTATCCTAATCTAATCTAATCTAATCTAATCTATGTATTGCTTTAATCAACGGTGCATTCACAGAATCCTTTTCTCATGTGAACCAGATGCTCAGATTTGGTCATTATGTGCCATCAGACTTGAATTTTGGCTGGCGCGGCACCGACTTCTCGCATGGCACCTATGCAGATCGTCACAAGGTTTACTAGCAATAGAGCTTGCCAGATCGTCAACTTGCATCCGCAGAGGTCCTTTGTCAGAAATGATGTATTGAGCTTGGTCTGTGGGTCCACTCCTAGCAGTTTGAGCTTGTCGTTTCGACCACCCGGTGACGGTTGGCTCGGTTGGGCGATTGGCTCACCGGGTGACTTGTCAGAGTCTACATGTTGCCAGACTGTGCTAGACTCTGCAGGTGCAAAAGTCCTCTCATTGTTCCTTGTTCGTGGGTTTCTTGCTCAGTGTTGCACCAAGACGGCAACTTTCAGTTTTCTTTGAATCTTTCACTTCATTGCCAGGGTCAGGTTATAAACGCTCCGTGGGGCTTTGGTGTTTGGCGGGATTTCCGATTTCCTCTCGCTTGCTTTTGTAGTACAATCTTCATTGTCCATGGAAAGTGTGGCTCCAAAGCACTTTGCACAGTATGTGGCGGCAATTCCGTAGTTAAGCATGCCACAAACCATCCTTCATTTGTTCGGTGAGCTATCACAGTTGTGAGTTAGCATTCCCTTAAAGAGGTGGTAGGTAGGTTTTGAGAATGCCCGTGGAAGAGCACCAGGTTGGTAGGAATATCCCACAACCACCAGGTTTTTGGCCTTTGGGGTGCAAGATTTCTTCCATCACAACGAAAGACCCCAACTCTGGGATGTAACTCAGCAATCCTTTCTTGGGTAGGAGAGGAATAGATGGAAAAGGAAGGAAAAGAGAATACCGCCTGTTTTGTTTGTTTTGTTGATAGCTTCATATATATATATATATAGCTTCTTATTTGATGTCAATACCCTGGCAGCCTATTTGATTGACATTCGCAGGCCTGGCTCAAGTGCAGACAGGTCAACCTGGCTGTTTGCCGGGTGTGTGACGAAACGTCAATCTTTGGCAGCATAAGTTTGCCACATCACTTACATCACTTCTGCTGTTTCTTTCAGAGGAAGCACTTGACATCAATTGACTCATCACGTGTCGGCACATCTAGATTTCTCGCCTGCATTTCTGTCCCTTTCCAGCCCACTGGACTCTCATAAGAAGCAGGACGGCATTGTTTGTCCTGTGCTGTGATTGTCCAACTGAAAAGGTGAAAAGGAACAATGACACAGTTTGAGGTTGTTGGAGGGCCAGATTGGAAGTGCTGAAAGGAGAGTGCACACTCGTCCCCAGGACTCATGTCAAAGACCATAAGTCTTACAAAGAGTCAGTCCATGCCCGCTCTGAAGCAAGCTCAGCCAGCATCCTAGAGAACCTCGTTCTGGATTTGCTTCCGGTACTCATGGATTTCTTCACGTCTTCCAGTCTTCCGGCGAAGCCAGTCCAGCTTCCAAAAAAGCAGCTGAATTCTCGAGCCCAAATTCAGGGTGTGGAGATTCGGGACTTGAGAACGATGCTTTGCACTTTGCACTAATTGCTGTAAATGGAACTGAACTAAGTGCCTTCCGCCTTCCCAGTCCATCCCAGGTCCGCGGACATCAAGAGACGGATCCTGGCCTCAGTGGATAGGCGAAGAGTGGTTCGAACGGAAGTAACACTGCAAGGTATCTTCTGAAGCGGATTAGTAACAAGAAGCTATACTAGTAGCTCCTGGCATCGCTATCGCTACTGGGAGCAAGGACGCTACTAGGGGCGCTCCTGGCCGTACTAGTAACAAGGACGCTACAAACGTAACAAAGGCCTCTTCTGAAGCGTGTCGAAGTGCCAGGTATCCAGGCCTCAAAGATTCAGGTGCCTATGTCGCTGCAAGGGGCCCCAACGAGGGGGGAGCAACAGCAAAAGCCTCTCGGTGCGAGCGACTGGCAGCCTGTTTTTGGTGCCTGAGGCGCGAGTAGATAAAGCACGGGAAAAAGATCGACTGGCTGAAAAGGAGTGCGGCCATCGAAAGCGACAGTTGTGGCATATTTTGGTGGCTGTCAAATGTCCAGTGACACGGTTCAATTGAAATCTGTCCAAAAGACAGGTATTGGGCACATCTCAAAAAGTTCAAGGAAGACGTACGTGGCTCATACCGACCAACTCGGATTGCGATCATGTCGCAAAAATGACTGACCAGTGCCCAAGCTCCTCACTTTAAGGTCCAGTCCGTTTTCAAGTTGCCCAAAGACAGCTACGCTGGCAAGAGGAGTGTGCAGGAGGCAGGTGAACATGCGGAGATTGAAACAAGAACCGACTTTACCTTTTGCCAGGAGATCAACGAGAAGGCCAAGCTGCCCTTTTGCTACTCTTTCTCTCTCTAGCGACCGCCCCCTTCTGTGTAACGGCTTAGAGGGTTGTATGCTGCAGAAGTAGTCCAAAAATCCAAGAAGGCTGTTTAGAGTAAAGTTTAGAGGCAGGAGCCAACATGGCCAAAGTTCACGCAAGCAGTTTTCATTAGCAAAGGCCTGAAAGCAAAAATTCAAGCCCCAACAGTGTGGCAAAAGGAGATGGCAAAGTCATCCAGCTGGAAGACATGGAAGACATTTCAAACATGGTAAACATATATAGACTGTATATGAGAGTTTGCAATCTGTTCATGCCTGACAGGTTCATGACTCATCATGACTCAGGTGGTTCTCCGATCGCAGGTGCACCTTGATCCGCTCAAGCTTTCTGAAAAGGAGCGAGTGCAGCCCCGCACGCACTTCGCTGTGTTGGCAGCGGAGCTCTTTAGCTCGCTGTCGTCGCCCCCGCATGCCATGCCCCTTTGAGGTCGACCAGCCTTTGTTGGACCCTCGACGAGTGGCGGCATCCACCTGGCGGCCGACCCTGTCCTCGACCCCTCCAAGGTCAGTGGCTTCCTGCCGTACGCCCGTGCCCATGGATGATGACGACCAATGGCGATGTCTCCAATGTGGCGCTGACACCTACTTCTGGAGTGAGGAAAGGACTGCATGGCGCTGCTATGAGTGTGGTTCGAGCTCACTCTCACCGCGCCCCCCGACGGCTGTTCGAGCAGACCGCATGAACCTGGGCGACGATCGAGCCTACGGTCCAAGCAGGCCTTTCACAGCCGAGCCCAATGCAGTACCAGGTCTTCCAACGACTCAGTTCTCATGGCCATACCCCTTGACCTCGTTGTTCCCTGGTCAACTTTACCAAGGTCATTCGGGATATTGCCATGACGCCGGACCAGGATATCCTCGCGACGCCGGACCGGGATATCCTCATGTACCCTTTGCAGCTGGGCCACCGCTATTTGCTTGTGGTCACGCTGGGTGCCCTCCACCTCACCAACTAAGGACCAGCTCTTCTACGCCGACGAGGCAATGACCCAGACAGAGGGTCAGACCCATACGCAGGGTCAGAAGGATCTGAATGGGCTGAGACAGAGGCCCCAACATATGATCCAACGGTCACGCCAAGTGTGAGGCCAAGCCCAAGACGACCTGATGAGCCGACATCAGGCAATCCACAAGATGTCACCCCTGAGGCCAAGAGGAAAAGGCGAAGACGCCGCACTTCTGGACAGCCATCGACCTCTCCTCATCGTTCACCGCATGATTCATCTCCACATGGACCACCCCGAGGCCCTCCACAAGATGAACCACGATTGAGCCCTGTTGCAAGGATTCCAGCAAGTTCACCCAAGAAGGGCGGACCACCATCCAATGGCGGTTCGAATCCATCGGATCCCGATCATGGCACACCAGGCGGCACAAGCTCTTCAAGCGCCTGGAACACCCTGAAGGGGCCAGTGCAAGGTGTTCGATTCTGTGGCGGTCAACCGCCCCAACCTCCTGGATGGCACTATGACCGCAGTGACTTGGCAGCCTTCCGAAAATGGAAGAAACGTGTTGACATGTGGGCCTTGCAGGTCACCAACTACGTGCCCAAGCGAGAAGCAGGGATCCTCCTGTTCAACAGCCTGAAAGGAGAGCTTGAGGAGGAGCTAGAAGACGCCCAGTGGAGAAGATCTATGACATCGACGGTGTCACCTTCATCATGGACACCATCCAGAAGGCAGTTGAAACGAGATCAGTGCATCTCAAACGGCAGCTGCTCAACACCTACGAGCACATCTACCGCTCTCCTCAGGAGAGCACGAGGAGCTTTGTGAATCGGTATGCCAGAACAGAACGAGCGCTTGACACCATCGGCATCCGGGTCTATGACATGTACGATGCTGAGGCTCGCGGCGCTCGCATGTTGGAGCGTGCCAAGCTGTCCAATGAACACCAGCGCCAAATCCTCGTCGGCGCTGGTCAAAGCCTTGAATTTGACATCATCAAGGACGTGCTACTTTTTCAGTGGCCAGAGCATAAGGCACTACCTCCTCCACTTCACCAACCTGGTGGCAACAAGGGTTTTCGACCTCAGCACCCAGGTGGAAAGGGCAAAGGCAAGGGAAAGACATCACCACCGGTGAAGCAGACCTTCATCACCGAGGCCAATGAGGCTGACGAGATTGACATCGGCCAGGACCCTCAGCAGGCGGAACCGCCTGAAGAAGATGAAGGGCCCTCGAGGGCGACGCGCCTCCAGAGCAAGAAGAAGATGAGTTCGAGTGGGACGAAGATGACCCACAGGTGGCGGAGATCCTCACAGTGACGGCCAGGAAGTTGGCCAACGTCCTTCAAGGAAGAAAGTATGGCGACACGGCATCCTCCTCTTCTACGGCGCCCAAGCGGTCCATAGCTCACCGCAAAAGAACAACACACTGCTCTGCCTGTGGCCTGTGGCCAGCAGGGTCACTGGGCAGGAGATGCCGAATGCTCAGCGAGCTCCAAGGGCGGCAAGTCTTTGAACAAAGGTGCAACCAAAGATGGCAAAGGCGCCGGCAAGTCAGACAAGGGCGGCAAAACCCGCTCTGTGCACTTTCTCAACCACTACGGTGGCCATGACGACGAGGATGCGCCCGAACATGTGGCCCATTCCGCTTTTGTGTCACAGTGCCCAAACAACCAGATTTGCCTCACCGATGCCACAAAAGCTGCGGGCCACATCATACTCGACACCGCATGCCAAAGGTTATGCGCAGGCCGCAGTTGGTCGGAAGCCCAAAAGCACAAGATGCAACTATGGGACATCACCCCCTCGAGATGGAGACCTCTGAGTATTTCGAGTTTGGGAAGGGCGCTCCGATCCACTCGACCTACACCATGTTCTTCCCGGTCTGTTTTGGGAACCACATGTGTTTGATGGCACCCTGCATCCTCGAAGCACAAATTCCTTGTTTGGCAAGCCGCACTTGGTTACAAGATGTTGAGGCAGTGATTGACATGAACCATGAAGTCTACATGGGTTTGTTTCAAGTCACCCTGCCCCTCGTTTTGATCAACGGCCACCTCGGACTGGACGTCTCGAATCGCAGTCTTCAAGAACCATGTTTTGAGTTTTGGCACAGTCAACAACCAGAGCTTTTTCGTCAATGCAGAGAAGGGCAGCGCATGTTCGTGAGTTAGGCGAATCCAAGACCCTACAAACCCTAGATCTCTGTAGACCCCAACAATCACACGTCAGAAATCCCGGCCGTCAGAAATCCCAAGTTTAAGAGACACCAAGCCGAGTTAAGAGACACCAAGTTGAAGAATTTCAGAAATTCAGAAATTGTTAATTTCCGAATTTACGTAAAGAAGTAACGTTTTTCAGTAATGCAGAAATTGTTAATTTCCGAATTTCCGCCAAACTATGTAAAAAAGTGAAGTTTTTCAGAAATTCGGAAATTGTTAATTTCCGAATTTCCGCCAAACTATACATAAAAGTAAAGTTTTTCAGAAATTCGGAAATTGTTAATTTCCGAATTTCCGCCAAACGATGTAAAAAAGTAAAGTTTTTCAGAAATTCGGAAACTGTTAATTTCCGAATTTCCGCCAAACTATACAGAAATTCGGAAATTGTAAATTTCCGATTTTCCGCCAATCGATGTAAAAAAGTAAAGTTTTTCAGAAATTCGGAAATTGTAAATTTCCGAATTTCCACCAAACTATGTAAAGAAGTAAAGTTTTTCAGAAATTCGGAAATTAACACGATATAGCAATTCAGAAATAGTTCATTTCGGAGTTTCCGATAAACGATGTAAGAAGTACAGGTTTTCATACCTTCCGAAATTGCTCATTTCCAATTTTTCGCCAAACCAGACATTGCGCAGGCAGCGTCCGGTTGCCAGCCAGAAGTGGAACGTTTGTACTTGCATTGTAAAATTTGCCATCTAGCCTCTTTTTCTCTCATCTCGGCGCACCCACTGAACGCATGGCACGCCCGCCGAACACATGGCTCTTCAAGTGGAACACCATCAGACCAGCAGATTTGGGGAGTGGCTGGTCGTGCTGGATGATGGGCAGCTTCTCTTTCGCCAGGGCAAGATGCGTTTGTTGGCTCCACCTCCGGCAGCGCCCCCAACAGCGCCAGGACAAGATGACCAGTCGGGTGACCGCGATGGGTGTGTTTATTGGGTCCTTTCGAAGCATTGTTCGAATCAGGGTGCTTTAGGCAAAAGTGGCCTGACTAGCAAGAGCCTTACAGGCACTCCGGCTGTCAGGCAGAATCCAGCTCTTTGCCAGACTCCGTCACGGCAAAGACCCGCGTGCTCTGTGCGGCTGACAGCCAGCCACCTCGAAGAGCATTGCAACCCGAAGCCAAAAGGTATCCTGCATGGGCACGCGCTCCGGTTTTCACTTTCGAGGCCAAGCAACCAAACAGATCTTGAGCCGCTTGAATCTGTAAGATGTAAGGCTTCTGACTGAGTGTTGAACTTGTTGAGCGCGCTCAGGGCATGGAGCGCGCGCAGGGCAAGTCGATCTTCAGCAGCCTCAGCCTCAAGCGTAGTATCGTCTAGTTTTGTATGGCTGCTGAATCCGGCTGACAGCCAGCTCATGCCGCCCAAATACCAAAAGAAAAGACCTTCGGGCAAAAGCGGCTGGGCAGCGCGCAACCAAAAAAGGTCACAACGTAGAAAAAACATTGCGCGACGTTGCCCTGCGCCATCATCGCTTTGTGGTTGGGCGCCTGCCGCCGATCAAGCCACTCCTGCGCATCAATGGCAAGCAGTCCGCGCTCATGGCCTGTAGGAAACTGTCCAAGGTGATGGTAGACAGTGAAGCGCAGACCGACGCCAATGGCACTGAGAGTCAGCTGAGCGAGCTGGCCAGTCAGCTGCAGCGCGAGAAGGCAGCCAACGTGGAGCTCTTGCAGCTGCTGCTGAAGGATGAGCCGAGCCATATGTGGTCTGTGTGCTCTCCCGCTGCCAGCGAGATGAGGATGCCACCAGAGCACCAGCAAAGAC